TTCCCGCCTTGGTGGTTCTCCTGGGGGTAGGGGGTCCAGCTCGGTGTTGTATTTTTTTTTTTTATTTTTGGAGATAAAAGCTGGAGGCTTCCAGCAAACCGCAGAGGACCACAGGTCCCCAGGTGGATCGAAATTCTTAGACTCGCAGCGCTCTGTTGTAGTGGGCTGAAGTGGGAACCGGCTCTTTTCCTCCCAAAAATGAGAATTTAGGCATTTGTCAGATGACAGAGCCTCCATCCGTAGGAAGGTTCAGTCGAGGGGTGCTGGTACAGAGCTCTCTGATGTCTCGGTCCTCCTCTCCTAGCTAAGCGCCGTCTCTCCAGCTTCTCAGTCCTGGGGCACGTGCGCTAGGAGATATCTGAGGATCCCCTGGGAAGGAGTGAGGTTTCTACCCCGCTAGAAATCGAGCCGAGCGCTGGCGTCGCTCGATACCGATCCCAGACGTCCTCCTCAGAGGTGCCTCTCCTTTCCCGCAGCGTCGGAACGAGTACCTGAGGTTCAGGCGCCTCTTCATGAACGTGGAGCGAGAGCAAGTGAAGGAGCAGCAGAGGCAGAAGGAGAGGCAGAGGAGAATCGCCGAGTGAGTACACGCGGGCGCGTGCCAGCCGGTGGGATTCGTTCCACCGACCCCCCAGGAGATGACCCTGGCGGGCGGCGTTCAGAAACTTTGGGGTGAGGTCACGTCGTGGGTGGTAAACTGAGCTGATCTCTGGGGGTTTTCATGGCAGACCCTCGCAGCTACAAACGTACACAGCGTCATAAAAAGGTTTCCTCGCGTTTATTCCGGAGCTGAAAACTCTGCGTAAAGGTGTCGGTACTGGTTTTGGCGCTGTACTCATCGTGTCCCTTCGAAGGAGGAGCTCTTGTCCCTCGTCTTGTCCCTCATTCAGGAGGAGCTCTGCAAATTCACACCGAAACAGGAAAGAGACTCTGCAGTTGTGGGGGTTTTTTTTTGCTTTTCTCTGCCTTGCTCTCGAAGGAAGCGATGCAGATCTGACCTTCTCGGTCCCCAACGCGGGCTTTGTGGGTGCAGCGCAGGCACCCGAGGGCAGGGTTTTCGCGGTCCCTTTCCAGGCCGGGTTAAAGAACCGCTCCTCCAGCCGCGTTCCTGACGTTTAAATTGGCACTCGGGAGCTCTGCAGAGCTTTCCCTGCCCTGCGAGCGCTGGCGAGACACCGGGGACTTCCTACTTGGTGTGAGATCTTTTTATTATAATTTTTTCCCCCCCCCGGTTGCAGGGGAGCCGCAAGCTGCTGGGAGCGGATGCGGGAAAGAGCTGGTTTTGCAGTTACTTGGTGTAAAGCCTGAAGTTGGCCTTGGTTTCGAGAACAGAGTTACGGTGGGGTAGTTCGGGCTCCGTTACCGCTTCATTTAAAAAACATTTTGGAGTTTGGAACTCGACCGGAGCAGTTTGGCTTCAGCGCTTTCCTGCTGGATGTAAAGATCTGACCCCCCGAATGGAGCGACATCCGAAATGTCTCGCTCGAGGATGCTTCCTCCCCCTGGCTTCTACCCAGCCGTGGTATTTATATTTTTTTTTTTTAATGCCTTTTGGCAGCGATCAGCCTGTAACATGTTACTGCATTTGGTACTCATCAGCGGGAAGAAAATGGCAGATGCTTCAGCTTAAAGGCCTTCGTGCTTCGCAATTGCTGCTTGTCAGGGGAACGTTGCTTCGCGCTCGGTGCGACCGGCGCAACCCAGATTCCACCGGAAGGGCCGGAGCGCCGGGTAGGTGCAAGGGAAACTGAGGAAAACCGAGGATTTGGTTAAAAACGCCTCTTCGAGCCTGTTTTGGAGTGGGCGTGGGATCCTTGGAGCTCCTCTGCTGTATCACAGAATCACAGAATAGTAGGGGTTGGAAGGGACCTCTGTGGGTCACCCAGTCCAACCCCCTGCCCAAGCAGGGTCACCCAGAGCAGGCTGCACAGGACCTTGTCCGGGCGGGTCTTGAATATCTCCAGAGAAGGAGACTCCACCACCTCCCTGGGCAGCCTGTTCCAGGGCTCCGTCACC